GTTCATAAGGTCTCTGGTTGCCTAGGTTTGGAATTCACAGATATTTCCTCCTCATTCAGTCAAATCAAAGTGTTAATGTCAATCCAGATTCAAGGGTTGGGGAAAGCAATTCATCCTCTTAGTGAAAAGAGTTGCAAAGAATTTGTGGCCATTCTAAAGCTGTCATAGTGATTTAGTTTTGTAATTTTAACCTAATTATAAAATGAAATAAGAGAGAAATAAGAAATTAAAAGGGTTTATCTTTTGAAAAATAGGAGAATATTAGAAGAAAAGGAATGAGAGGAAAGAGTAGGAAGGATGGGAAAGGGGAAGAACAACAACATGAAATTAACCAAACTCTGTCCTGTGCATATCTGACTATATCACAATGAATTCTACTTTTATGTACAACCATAATGTATCAAATAAAAATAAATCAATAAAAAAAGAAAAAATAAATAAAAACTGCAAACCATTGTTGAAAAGAATTAAAAACCAAAATAAATGAGAAGACATTCCAGGTTCAGAGACCATGAGATGTGACATTGTTAAGAGGTCAACACTCCCCAAACTAACCTATAGATTCAAAGCCATCCCTGTCAGAATCCCAGATGTTTTCCTTATAGAAATTGACAAACTGATTCTAAAATACATATGGAATCCCAAGAGATACAGAAGAGCAAACAATGCCAAAAGAGGAGAAAAAATCAGGAGAACTCATGCTTCTTGATTTTATGACCTACTGGAAAGAAATGGCAGTGGAGATATGGATGGATGTGAGGTGAACCCTCAGGACTGTGTCAACTGACTTTTGACAAGAGTGCCAAGATCCCTCTAGGGGTGAAGTATAGTGCCTTCCTCAAATGGTCTGGGACAGCTGGATCTCCATATGCAAGAGAATGTACCTGGACTCCTACCTCCTACCATGGAGAGGAGCTTTCAGAAGGGGTCTCTCTAGAGCTTTCAGAAGGGGTCTCTCTGGAGCTTTCAGAAGGGCTCTCTCTCTGATAGGGCACTTGTTTAGTATATGGTCTTAGGTTTAACACCCAGTGCCCCAAACAAAACAAAACAAAAACATTTTAGAGGAAGACACAGGTAAAACTTCACAACCCAGGATTTAGTACAAGATTCTTTGATATCAAAAGTATTAGCAACAAAGAAAAAAATAGAAACATTGAATTTCACTAAAAGTAAAAACCTTCCCAGAAGTGGTGGAGCACACCTGTAATCCCAGCTACTCAGGAAGCTGGGGCAGGAAGATTGCAAGTTTGAGGTCAACCTGGACAACTCTGTGAGACTGTGATTCAAAATTTAAAAAAAAGGATTAGGAATATAGTTCAGTGGTAGAGCAGCCCTGGTTTTAATCCCTACTACCACAAAAGGAGAGAGAGAAAAAAAAGAAGTTAAAAACCTCTGTGCTTGTAAAGAAATCACCAAGAGTGAAAAAAAAAATCCAGAGAACAGGAGAAAATACTGGTAGATCACATATTTGACCAGAGATTTGCATCTGATTATCCAAAGAACTCTCATAAGCCACAATCAAGGAAGGACATAGAGCCCAAATGAACAAAATGGGCCAAAGATCTAAACAGACATTTCTCCAAAGACATAGAAAGCAGAAATAACCAATAAACATAGGAAAAGGTGCCCAAGGTCATAGCCAACAGAGTCACCTGAGAAACTATCCCATACCTAAGACTGTTCAGTCACAGGTCTGAGAGCACAGGCTGTGGGGGTGTGGAGAAGTCAGGACCCTCCTAGGCTGGCAGCTGACATGGAAATGGTCCAGCCCCTGTGGGAATGGGCCAGACAGTCCTTCAAATCTCACAGGTACCAAGTGATCCAGCCACTCCACCATAGGTGTAGAGAGTGTGAGTGAACAGCACATCCACACAAACCCATGTGTGGAGGATCACAGCAGCAGACTGATAACAGCCATCAGTCAGGGAAAGCCCAGATGTCCACCAGAGGACAAGTGGAACATAAAAGCACCCTGCATCCATATGATGAGCAACATGTAGCCATGAAAAGGGACAAAGTACTGACAGATGCCCAGAATGGATGGCCTTGAACAAACACTCAAAAGAAGCCAGGCACCCAAGGCCACAGCCTGTGTGATTTCATTCCTGAGATGCCTGAGTAGTCTGTGGAGGAGGGAGATTAGGTGCTGCTAGGGAGGGGCCTGGGGCCAGCATGGTGGAGGGCAGACACAGCAGATAAAGGGCTGTGTTTTCTTTCTGAGC